GGTTTAATCCACTAATCTCCAACCTTTCATCACATATGTAACCTACTGTATATTGAATTACACCGACGGCTTACGCTGAGGAAGCACACATAATAACACGCAAAAAAACTTATAAAACGGGTTTTCCAGACGGCATTAGGTAAGCAGGAGCGGACAAAAAACGCCTCAAAAACCACCTTTGTGATGCAGGAAACCGTCTTCCGTGTAAGGTAGTCTCCGCGATGAAACACAGCCATCTACAAAAAGGGAAAAAGAAAAGGGGGTTTCGAGAGTATGCCGGCAGTTCAAGAGCGAGCTTGAGCAGCTCGTTGAAGGAGTTATCTGAGCATAGCATTTGACGCAGTGGTGGTTTGGATAGGACAACATTTTGATCGGAAGCCGCCCAAATCTTTTAAAATTTAGGCCTCTGACGCCGGCCTCAGAACAACGAGTTCGCGCAGGCCCTGTTTTGTAGCTAATATCAACTTCAACGAGTGTAAGAACGCGTTGGTCGAGTCTACTGATGGTGAAGCATTAAGTGGCGTCACTAAGATGGATAAACTGTACGAGATTCAACGCTTCAGTCGTGCGGAAACCGCATGGAGTTAAAATAGTCCCAAAAGACAGAAGTAAAAAAGGACTTACAACATAATCTCGCGCTCGAATAAGCTGTACGCTAGGAACTGAGGCGTGCTCACTATATGTGTTTGGCGGATAGAGGACTTCGCTAAAAGAGATAAACAAAAGGCAAATTAGAGTTCGTATTTAAGTTGCAGGACGAAGAGGCACATTATCAATCAAGACGACCACACAACTATCAGACAGCAGCCTCCGCCACAGCCAATCATGTGGTGAATAGTGCGTCAGATGGAGCAGCTACAGAACTTAGATCTAGGCACGCTACCGACTTCTATCAATTGCATCAACATCGGAATGAACATACACCGATGTGATGGCTGTCTGGAACCAAAATGCGGCCAACGGCGGTGACAATCCAGATGCTAATAATATCAGCCGTTGGCACCAAGGGATGATATAGACAAAGATATCGGCTTTTTAGGCTTATTTGTGCGGCCCCCCCGCCCCTAAGCCAGAAACATTCTAACCAACAAATCAAGGCCGCACGCGAAGAGATGAATGTGCAGCTCAAATGGCAAAAACGACGAGGTCCACTGCGCGCCGCACGAGACATTCACTGAACTCTCTCTTCTTCCCCACTCATCTTGCTGCGATGGCAAGACAGTGTCCTGAAGTGGATGTGGACGTCGTGGCTGAAATATCTAAACAGTCCGCCTACGCGTTCCACACAACATCTGGTTCCTAGTAAATGGCTCGAAGCTCACGTCAGTGAAAATACCGTAAAAGTCAATTTGGGAAGTTTCCAGGCCACAACTCTTAGCGCATTGTGTTATGTTTACAGATAGGCTTCCTAGTGTTAAACACGCTGCCCCTCCTCCCTCTCCTCTGCACTAGGCGACTGACAAGCGGATGATGACGGCGTTTGGGTGCAGTGAAAGCAAACGCATCGGTCGTATCATATGCGCACGTATATAGGGCAGTTGATACGGGCTCGCGCACACAGCAGATAGTATTGTCTGCCAAATGCAATTAGCGACAAAGACGGGTAGTGGCCTTTTCTAGCCGTCGTCGGTCAGCCAGATGTGGCAATCCCTGGGGCTCGAACTTGGGACCTGTTAATTAGGGGTCCAAGACCCTACCCAATGAGCTGGGTGCTCGCTTACCTGACTGTTGCGATCGGGTAGTTGAGCGCGGCGTGCGCATGACATTTTGGTCATCCTCAAGCCGGAAATGGCTGGATGATGGCGGCTAATAAGCCATAAATAGTCATTCCAGTCTTCCTGGTCTTTGCCGGTAACTGCAATCGGCACATAGCCGCTGTAGGCTATTGGCGGGGATCGAGAGTAAGGCCCAATTGGAAGACTGCGTCCAGTAACGTGATAGGTGAGTGTCCCACTATCATAGCACGCGTAGTGTTAAAGTTAAGTCGAACGGGCGAAACTGCATCCCTGCGAAACCGAGGTCACATTAGTTAGCTCATTCCGGAGATAAACTAAATATTTATTAACAGGGCGGTCTGTTAGGCTTTCTCAAGCAGATA